CCAAAACGAAACGCGCATGCAAACAACCAAAACTACAGCTGAACTGAACGAAATCAACTCAACTTCGATTACAGCAATCAAGCAACATCCCCAACAGAACTGCACAAGCAAAATCATAACGAAACGCAATCCATCACGATTACTGATATAAGCATTTACCCTAGCGATGATTATGAAAACAAAAAACAACGAAAGAATCCCCATAACGAAGCAATAAAGCGCTTTTTGTTGCCATCTTCATGATACAGACAGATCCAGTGTATGTAATGAATCAATTATGAATCAATTCGAATCAAACTTACACCAAATCAGACTAATCAGAAATGAAAACAACAACCGTAGCACATACCACGTGAGGGTGGAGGTGCGAAAGTTATATCAGCCACGATGCTGCCTGTAGCAGTAGCACTAATCAAATATCATTCATTGCTTACACTTTCAATTTCAGTTGCTTACCCTCATCATCCCAAAACCTTCCAATCATCAAATTCTTTCGTCAAAATCCAGTCAGGCCAACGAATTTCTCGTCTAATTCGAATGATGTCACACAAAATGTTTAGCAAAATAAAAATTTCCTCCCGTTATTGGCACCATATTTTTAGTAGCTAATGAGCGTTATGTGTTGGATACATTTGTAAGTTTTGGATTAAATATCCCAAATGTAATATCCCAAAGCCGGATTAATCAAATCATATTCAATTCAGCTCAAAATCATAATCACTTGAGTACAAAGACAGTACGGACACACATAATCCACTTGAACATTCAAACAACTCAACTTCATGCAACAAACAGAGGATATTATGATTGCTCAAAAATTCTTACACAATATCCCGACTAATTTTTTAAGAATTCTGGTTGTTCGAAACGAAGTGCAATGACAACTCAATTATCAGTTACCTTCTTTGTCGCCAGCTTTCAAATCTTCAACGATTTTCTGTCCCAATGCTGATACCGCTTCGACTGAACAAGTAAAATTATTTAATGATTGATCAGCAACACTATATGAAAACAATTAGAATCACTCGAGAATTTCAATTCATTACGAACAATCCCTCAAGCTCGATAACATTTCGGAAACTTGACTCAAAGAAATCGCATTAATGAGCCAAGGGTGATGGATTATTACAGAAGAAGAATGAAACAAGAAACTGTAAGGATATCAGTCAAATCCAATTGATGAATTGGAGAAACAGTGAAGTTGAACGAACTCACAAGTTGGCAGTGATCTGAAAACAACGACAATATCGGCAACGTTGTGACCAGCAAGCATTGTTTCCTTACGGAACGATCCGACTTCACGAAATTCTTCGAGTACCTAAACGAAGGTCATTCGATATCAGTCATATTCAATACTCGGTAAGAAATGCCTCATAATCATACCGAACACAAGTGATTTGCATTAAAACATAATAACATATTAAGTGACATAATTCTGCGCAATAATACTACTAGCAACTCTTCGTAGCGACCGCGTTTCATACGAAAACCTTGTGCTGATAATCTATCAAATTGTTTCGTAAAATATATCATGAAATCCTTATGGTAACGGCTAATCAAAAATATCTATACGAAGTGGATGAAGAGAAAAATAAAAAAAAGGCTCACCATTGAGGCAGACTGATCCGGATTCGATGCAATCTTCTGCAGCGCACCTTTCACTTTGTTCACCAAGCTAACGACGGCCGACTGCTCAGCACTAGTGGGCATAATTTCCTGATGTCGTTTGTTGATTGCCTAAAATCATTTCGATCAGTAATCAACGATGAACTAATAGCGCATTTAAAATAATTTCTCGACAGCATATTGGAAACGGCATGTTCTCATTGTACCTTCAAGCTGACTTATAAGTAAAAATGGTCGAGAATGAATGCATTTCAAGAGGTTTAGGTCACAATAATACAGAGCATATTCACTGAGCGAAGTAAATCAGCTTTCTGAGCAGAGAATTTCATTGGAATGTACTTGAAAATCAACACCGCAAGTGTTTAGTAATGATGTGATGGGATGATCAAATAAATGAGAAACGACAAAATTTGACTGAAACGAATCGAGCACTGAACTAAGAGTAAGCGAACA